CGCGGAATCTAAATTAAATAATAATTGTGCGTTCCCCGCAAACACGACCGTGCCGGATTGCATTACCGAATTAATTCGACCCGATTAAGAATTCTTCATCCGACGAATGTGTTGCACGACGAGATCGACGACTTTTCTGATGCCAGTGCAGGAGGCAAGAGCGTTATCCACGAGTAAGAAATCAATTTAATTTATTCGTTAGTTGTTATTCGTTGTGTAAAATTTCCGAATAAATAATATAGATATTTTTAAGGATGCAGATAAATATAAAGCATAAAAATTATAAATAATTTTAAACATTCTTGGGGTAAATGGTATAAGCTTATCCAACGTGAACAAAAAATGACGAATAATAAATAACGAACAAAATCTCACCAATAACTGGTATAATGAACAACTCGAATAGTAAGCAACCGAGCAATGATTAATTATGGATTCGTTACTTTCACTCGGATACAATTTTATTCGAATAGCGGCGAACACTGGACAAGGATTTATGAGATGGCCTAATTAAACGGTAATCGGGTTTATTACTTGGAAGCCGTGGGCAGTGTTAATGCGTGTTGATGTCGAAAAATCTCCGAATCACGGGGCATTATCCGCGGGGCCGATTTTCCGGCCGGGGGGTTTCGCGACGCATCTTGGTATTAATGCGCGTTAATTAATCCGCAGTTGCAAGCCGCAAGTAATGGGCCGCGGTATTTCACGGGACTCCAACGCAGACGCCTCGCAGTGTCGGGGTGACCTCGCATGAAGCATGGACCAATTTGTAACGCGTGGCGCACGAAGCAAGAGGAAGAAAAAACGAGCGCCAACTGCAATGAATGGAGGGAAATCTGAAAAGCGGAAGCCTGCGGTCCAATCGTGGTCGTACGCACAAACTTTTCCACGAAATTCGCCAAAAGCCGTGCCGCGCCGCGCCGAGCCGAGCCGAGCCGAGCCGAGCCGGGACCCGGGTCTTGCCAACTCGTTACTCGTCCACGTGGCGTTCCTTTTTCCGCGCCGTTTAAAAAGTAAACTATTGAAAAAAGGGGGGAACGCTTCGCAGCTATCTCTTGACAAAGAAAACATTTGAACAGCCGAACCGTATTTTCGTCGCCGGAAGACCTCGCCGAATTTTTATTTGGCAATCATTAGAGCGACGTGACTCGCACTGGCCCGACTGAACGGGTGATCTAACGCTGTCTCTTCGTTTTCATTGTTGCACGGAATATATATCGTTATGAAAATTTCACAAAATCTCACGGCACCGCAAAATTCGCCAACCTCAATCACTACAGTATCAACGAATTATTAACGCGTTTTCACACACGTGTGAACGTTTGCTTTCGCTTATTTACACATTTACACCGTTGATTCACAGTATTTCCGTCTAATTACAGTATTAAACTATGCAACTATGAGTTACAACTTTTCAACTTTTTCAAGTCGGTTAAAATATATCCTATCGTGCATAAGAAAACTAAGCAAAAGGTGGGACAGTTTTTAACCCTGCTATAATGTAAAAATAAATAAATTGAAAATATAATAAAATAAATTAAATATGAAAATTATAATTGAATAAATTGAGAGGGTCGAAGTGACATAATACACATTCTTTCCTCATTGTAAGAAACAAGGAGTGTTATCGTTTACTGCCATGTGTGTATTGTTAAGTCAATTTAGCGTTAAGTTAACTTGAAGTAACTTTTCGAAAATATTATTATTATTATATCCATTATTATAATATTAATAAAAAATGGATAACAATATTATCTATATTAATTATTATTATTATATCCATTCAATTATTGCTCATGCACACAGATACACTGTCGATATTCCATAAAATAATAGTATCTCCTTGAACTTCCTAATTCATTATTTAATATTGTTTTAATGAATATCAGGGTAATAAGCACAGAAATAAGCCGGAACGTTGAGAAGAATGAAGAAAAGCAAATAGTTAACAAAAATGATATTCTCTGCACGGCGAAGAAAAGCCGGCCCTCGTTGAATAGGATGTTCTCGACCTTTTTTCTTCTGAATAATCGTAAATCTTATTATCGATCTGAATCCTCGTTAACTAGTCATGACACGAATGACTTGTAAAGCTACTCCTTTTCTTCGGCATCGTAGAAAATTCCACGGGAGAGGTCGAGAGATAAGAAGAGAAAAAGAGAGAGAGAGACAAAAAACAACATTAATAAGGACAAAAGGGGGGAAGGGGTACTCTGAACAACGACGAAGTTGCCGGTGCAGCGCGTAACGAGTGCTTCGCGTTTTCAAGATACTTATTTCAAGGGAGGGAAAAAGTACAAAAGGGAAGTCGAGCGAAAGCGTCGAGAGTCTGCTCTTATCTTCAAATGAATTGCTTACAAATACTTTAGTTCGAGCACGGTGCCTGCAGCAAATCAATACACCTATTTATTGAGCTATTGCTGTAATAAGTCATAATAAGCATCCTTGGTAACACGATTCAAAGTTCGCCCATAAATTACCCATAAATTGACCGTTGTGGCCCAGCGTTAACCTTCAGACTGCCGACATAATGCCATATGCAGTCACTAATATTGTACCGTCTTTTGAAGAATAAGATAGTGAAGCAGATTAGTGTGGGCTGACCAATCGCTGTGCCTTTGACGTGTTCTCGGGCATAATTAACACACTATGTGCGGGAGAGGTATTAATAACTTTTTAACAAATTTAATTCTTTTTATCATCGTCATGAAATCCTAAAAATCTTCGTTATACAGGGTGGACCGGATTCGTAGTACAATCGAGCCGGGAAAAATAGACCGTGAGAAAATAAGAACAAAATTTGGTTTAACACTTTTTTATCCGGGACTCCGTTTTCGAGAAAAAATCAACTTTAAAGTTTCTTCACCACATCATATGAGTTTTTTTAAACTGTTATCATACACACGTCTTAAATATGTGTTCAATATTTATGAAGTATAAGTGAAAACAATCATGTTTTGCTTGTTATATAAATAAAACTTTAAATATTGAATAAAACTTTATCGTCAATTTTTCAAATATTTAAATGTTTTTTAGAAAGCGGATTTATTCAAAATTCACTGATTCTCTCTTGTTAAACGTAAGCAAAGCTCGATCTGTAACCCGCGGATAATGTGTTAATTTTATATCCATCGAATAGGTCATAACCAATTTTCTTATTCAAAAGTAAACAAAATAAAAGAATGAAAAAATTTTAATATGTCTTGTTCGGCAAATGTGAAATTAATTATTCTTGAAAACAAGCCAAAAGCGCAGCAATTGGTCACAGCCCACAGTAACCGGTTCCGCCACCCTAGTTCTCCTTCATCCGATTCAATTTGTGATAAAAACTATTTAGGAAACTTGATATGTAATTATGATGTATGCGTGTCGCCTACACCAAAACGAAATATTTTCCCTCACAAAACGAGTCAGCCGAATGAGAACTATTTTCTAAAATACGGTGCAATATTAATGACTCCATATGGCATCATGCCGGCACGACAGTCTAAAGGTTAATCACGTGATACGGTTCATTATTTCTCATTGCTTGAACCGCGCACGCGAACGATTTCATTCACTCATTCTTTCCAAAAATATTCCATCGTGTATTCTAAATTCTTACTCAGTCGTACGATTTCTGTTAGCTGTGGGAATATAAATTCTTTTCGGCTTGGTAGCAACTTCAAAAGGTGATAATCTCTTCTTTTTAATAGATTTCATTTCTAGCCTAAATGGCTAGACTCGTTCCTCTTCATTGTTGCAATTCGTAAGGCTATGTAAGAACCTTTAATATTAAGGATTTCTCATCAAAACAAGTATTTGGTAATTGTTAGTATCTTTCCTGTCACTTGTACGCTCAAACAAAGTAATTAAACAAAGCCCCATTAAAATCTAAAGAGAGAATCCCTTCCCTACAAGTTCAGCCCCTTTTCTAATAAAAAAGATTGTAACACAAGTTCTTGCTACCGGGTCAAAAATACCCGCACTCGAAATATTAACCCTAGAAAGATAACCATATGACAACGTACGTAAAAGATAACCATACGCTTCAGAGGCGCATGCTTTTCTAAGGCGTCAATTTTATACTAACAATGGATATTTATTTAAGTTAATCTAGTCATTTTAAAGGTTTGGCATTATTGTAAAAATAAAATGCATTTATATTATTTTTTTTTATATTTTAAGTAATTTTAAACTTAAATCACTAGACCTCTATGAAAAATTAACAAAAATCAACAGTCTTCGCAGGCGCCTCTGCGACGTAGGTTATCTTTCTCGGGTTAAAAACCATGGCTTTGGAATATTTTCTTCACAACCGTATTATTTTTATATTGAGACGCGGTGTCTCAAAATGCGAGCACAACTCAAAAATCCGAATAACTGCATCGAACCTCTTTCAAAGATCGTAACAAAAACTCGAACAGTCTTCTCAATTTTACTCGGTTACTTTTTTGGTAAATTTTACCCAGAAGCGCCTCCCGCCGAATTAAAAGCGCAAAGAACTAAATGCACACGTAGAGAACAGTTTCGAAGAGATTTCCTTGAGAACGTTGGCGCCCGGAGGAGACGAGCTTTACAGCCGTCGTCCGATTTCTTCTTCGGCGGGGAAGAATCAGGCGGGTTCGGGGTTTTATTTCGTTCTCCATCGCGGCCTGCATAAACAAAATATTTTTCGTTCGGGCGCGTCGTCGTTCCCGGGGACAATCTAACGTTTTTACGCGCCGAGTCGCCGGCGTGTAACGTGTCCGGACGGTTTGGTTCGCATACGAATGCCGCTACAGTTCGCTATTTTCGCGTGGATCAATCGCCGCGGCTCGGTGTAGCAGAGGGGACACGAGATCGTTTCGAAGTCGTGACCTTTATTCACCGTGGGCCCCCTTTTGCGAAAATCCTTCGCGCCCTCGGAGGATTTCGTTTGCACGTAAAGAGAGGCGAGAAGAAAATCCAGAAGAAGGTGAGGAAAAAGAAGAAGAAGAAGAAGAAGAAGACGACGACGACGACGAAGAGGAAGAAGGCGCGTAGCGAGAGAGAACAGGATTCCCAATATTATTTCCGAGCAGGCAGGGTTTATAGGTTCGCGTTGATGGGACACGTTGACGGCGCCACATCTACTCAGGGCTGCCGTCGTCGCTCGTATAAGAGCTTCCCTATCCCCTAAAACCGTGGCGCGAGCGAACATCGAACCTCGTCCCGACATCTGTCACAGTTTCGAACGAGCATGGAAATCGCTCACGGCTAGCGAGGAGACCACGGTGGAAAGAGTGTCTCTCAGGTTTAGACGATGCTGTACCACCGCGAACCTACGCCCTTGTATTACGGTTACGCGGCCAACCAGCTCGCGTCACCCGGAAAACAGGCTTGGCCGACGAACAGACCTAACCGCTAGCAGCGCTCGCTCCTCTACCTGCCCTGGCTTGGCTTCGGGTTCTCCGGATCCTCGCGACAAAGCGCCGCCCGCGACACATACCTGGAACAATTAAAAGAGCCGCGCGTTAATTAACCAGACGCTGAATGAATAGTTCTGATAATGCCGTAATTGCTGGGATTACGTTTAAACCTAATTGGGGAACCGAACATGCGCCCCAGAGGGCTGCTGCGCGCCCGCTTTGCGGCTCGCGTAACCATTTGCCCCTGCGTTTACCAATTAATTCTCGCTTCAAAACCTACCGAACGTACTTCCATGCTTCGGTAATATCGTCCGCAATGGTTTTTGCTGTTACAGTTGCTTCGGAGGTTCTTAACACTTTGACGGCCGGAGTCGCGTGCACGTGACTTCGCGATAATTTGAATGATAAAAATCGATTCAGTGTAGCTTTTCTTGAAGAACGCGTTGTAATTATATTATTAAACAAATTTGTAAAGGTTATATTATATATATATATATTAATATATATAATTATATCATAATTGCACTGTTATAAAAGTGTATTTTATAATTACACTGTTAATACTTTGACCGCCGCGACGTCCACATGTGGGTGACAGAGTTATTTAAAGTTGAATTTTCGAAAATTAATTTCTTTGCCAGTCAATCATAATTTCTTAATTTTATTAAGATTAGCAAGGCGTAAGGATGTTGGTAAAGTAATGTATGTCGCATAAATTTGCTGTGCAATTTTTATATATATTTCACTGAATAAAATACTTTAATTTTATGAAGCTTTCGATGTGTTCGATTGTGTTCGACGTGTTTCAATTTCTATCATTAGAAATGGCTTTCTGAAAAAACCATGACATGACAGCTTCTATTTTGAACAATATAGTTATTTTTAACAATTAAAAATGTTTTTTACAGAACGTACAACATTTTTCAGTAATTATTTGTAATTATTAGACTGTGGATTTTTATGCAAAATAAAAAGTGTCCGAATCGGTTGCAAGAAATATAAAATAAACTATTCAATGATAGGTTAAGAACACTAAATTAACACTTTTCAATTCTTTTAATCTTTCTACTATTTTAAATTGCACTTACTCGTTTTTACCATGAATGCATAAAATCCACTGTCTAGTAATAACTTCTCAAAATAATTTTTCGATAGAATATTATATACACGTCGTTAACGAATGAATTGCTTGAACGTCATTAATTTCTATACATATATTTCTCCAGTCTTCATTGCATAAACAATGTGCACTGGTCATCCATAATCGATGCAATTAAAAGCAAGTAAATTATTTGTGCGATAAATGATATTTCTAGCTTACCAGAAATATTAGAATTTTTTCAATGAAGTTAAACTTTTTCCAAAATGAACGCTTGCCTATGAAACAGTTTAGATCGAATTAAACAATGCTTATAGCCCTTGGTGTATATTAAAAATATTCTCAGTCCGTTAAACAAAACAGAACATAAATAAAAATACACGCATGCTAAATATAGTCTTCACAAGTATCGTCATCATTTATTATTAAATGATATCTTCGCAACGTCAATCATTTTTCTTCCTAATCATAAATCAGCTTCGCTAAACCACAGTTCCGAACGTATATTCGCCGGTGTTAATCATTAACGTGTCTCCCGTCTAGATGCAGTCTGCTATCAATTAAAAGAGAATAAAACAGTGGACAACACGCGGAAGAACGGAAACCACGGAAGACGACATCTGCTTGATGCACCGCACGCTAATAGGATAATATTGATATATAGCATGAGCCGGCGATCAATATTAATAAATAATACAAAGCAATAGCCGGTTGAATATCTCCGAATGAATTATTAGTTAATTTTGATAGGCTATTGGCGAATCATATTCGCACAGAGCTGTAATGGAGGACGTGCGCCGCTAATGCTTCGATATGCATACGATTCTCTCTCGTTTAAATGACAAACTGTTCGCTGAAAATTACACGAGGCGAGAAATATTTAGGAACGTTCACGTCACGTTCGATAACAAGCGCCGCGAAATATCGATAAATATTCGTTGTCGCTTTCAATCATCTACGGAATTACGGGCACGCGTTCGAGATCCACGAAAATGCTTGCGATAAACTTTTTGCGCGAATACTATAGCAAGGTGATTCGTAAGAAGTAGCTGGCGGTTAAATATTTAGAGGCAGGACGAATTAAATATTAAGCATTCCGAGGGAACACGGAAAAGAAGGAATAATGGAGAATGAAAAAATGTGCATGATAAACGGCAGCGGATGTTGCCCTGTTCAAAAATAAACCTGGAACGTGGAACGTCCGCTTTCCTTTCTCGAACGAACTCTTTTTTCATCAATGGTAGCGACAGTTCGTGAAAACTATAGATTGTGTAATTAAGAAGAATGAATATTCACGAATTTATAATCGTACAGAAACGAAACATGTCAGAGATGTTCATCCTTGTTAACTTGACACTCCATGGTTTACAAAAAATTACATTGTAATTCGTAATTCAGATCGCCATTCAATTAAATTACAATGTACTTAATTCGTAATTCAATAGGCGTACAATTACAAAATACTAAAAAATTCAATTGCATTAATCACGAATTACAATGTAATTGAATTGCATGAATTACGAATTACAATGTAATTGAATTACATGGATTACGAATTACAATGTAATTGAATTGCATGAATTACGAATTACGATGTAATTGAATTACATGAATTCCGAATTACAATAAATAAATTAAATTATTATTAGTAATTACAATGTAATTAATATTTATTTCATGCGCTGTGTCGAATATAAATAAGAAACATAAATAATCAACAAATATAAAAACAAGAGGCAGGGCTCGAATAATCACCTCTTCCAAAATTGTCCATTCTTGTGTAGAAGCTGAGGGACAACTAGAGAGAATTTATTGTATTTTTGGTAATATCCGGACGGTAATGCGTTAAGATGAATACGACCTCCATAAACAAATGTAAAAAAAGTAAAATGATCGACGACGTTAAATAGCACTTTCTTTGTACACGCGGATCTTCCAGCCCGCCCTCGGTACTTGCGAAAGAACCATTACCATTTGCGAGCGCAACAGCCGCAATAATTACTTTGTTACAATTCGCGAGGTAATTGGCAAAGGGAGAAAAATAAAAGGACCGTTCAAGTACCGCGACGATCCAGTGGAAATTGGCCAACGGTGACCATAAACGTCGCGGTCCGAGCAACAATGGCTCTAACGACCAGCGGAATTCAACATTACATCGGAGACCGCTACGTACCGGCGAAAGATCACCGCCTCCCGATAAACAGAACAATTTATTCATCGAATCGTTTCGCTTGTAAATTAACGAGCTCACTCATTAACGTGTTATCGATTACCCGGCCAGTCGGAGGAGAGCTTGATTCCTCGACGGACGCGAACGAACGGTGCGCGGCCAGTGTTTTACATGGATTCGGGTCGACCATGTTTGTTCGCATTTTCCGCGAGTTTAGAGGCGAGCTCGAGAGAAAGCCGAAGAACGGAAAGAGAGACGGAGACATAGGCAGACGAAGACAGGGACGGAAAGAGTGCAGAGAGAGAGAGAGAGAGAAATAGAGAGAAAGAGAGTGGGGAGAGAAATAGAGAGAGGTAAATAGGGAGAGAGGAAAGAAAGAGAGAGAAAGAGAGAGGGGAGAGAAATAGAAAGAGATAAATAGAGAGAGAGAGAGAAAGAGAGTTGGAAGAGAAATAGAGAGAAAGAGAGTTGGAAGAGAAATAGAGAGAGGTAAATAGGGAGAGAGGAGAGAAATAGAGAGAAAGAGAGTTGGAAGAGAAATAGAGAGAGGTAAATAGGAAGAGAGGAGAGAAATAGAGAGAAAGAGAGTTGGAACAGAAATAGAGAGAAAGAGAGTTGGAAGAGAAATAGAGAGAAAGAGAGTTGGAAGAGAAATAGAGAGAGGTAAATAGGGAGAGAGGAGAGAAAGAGAGAGAAAGAGAGAGGGGAGAGAAGTAGAAAGAGATAAATAGAGAGAGAGAGAGAGAGGAGAGAAATACATAGAGAGAAATAGAGAGAGGGAGAGACGAGAGAAAGAGCACAGACCATGAAAAAGAACCGTTCCCAAAGGGTGAAGCTGCATCGAGATAGTCGTAAAGGTAGCGTTACGGTTGTAAGAATAAGCAGCTTCCATTCTTGAAATACCTCGTGGCTCTGCGTCGGTATTTTCTTGGCCACTTCGTTGCGAACGGCGATGATGCCGCTCTGGAAACGGGCAGCTTGAACGTCGAAAAACGCGGCTACGATCGAGCTGCCAGCCCGAGATAGAGCGACGTCCGTTCTCATATCGATATATCGGTAACCTTGGGAGCCCGTGTGTCGCACGGAATCGGCGCCGATCCCTTTTCGAACGCACGTCGAACCAGCAAGGTAGCAGCTCCTATTCTTCGGGTACTTTACGCTTTGGAACGTCGGAGATACTTCGCCGTTGGTACGTATCTTGTCGGCTGTTTGGACGCAGATCGTAAAACACAGTGGGCACGGTAAACACGTTCCAGTATACGATCGCTTTAACAAACACAGCATTAACCGACTGACTGCGTTCACCGTCGATTATTTCGTGAACCAGACTCGCTCTTCCCTGCCGGAGAATGGCAGGACGAAACCGAGCTGGAGAAATCGGCCGGCCGCTTCGCCGTACAGGGTGTCCCGAAAACACAAGAACCGACGTTGAGAGTTTCGATTTTATTCTGTGAGTCGAGGGTTCGCTGGATACCGGTCACGAATGTCTTAAAGAGTTATGACAAGGTTATGTTATTTTGTGAGTCGAGGGTTCGCTGGATACCAGTCACGAATGTCTTAAAGAGTTGTGTCAAGGTTATGTCAAGGTTATGTTATTTTGTGAGTCGAGGATTCACTGGATACCAGACACGAATGCCTGAAAGAGTTCGACGTACATTTTCACAAGCGTAGCTGTTAGTCACTTTGGGAACTTCTATGATAGTAATCGAGCATGATTATCCAATAGAATTTAAGCTAAATTTATGGCCGGTCGAACATCGTCGCGTCAAATCAGATTTGATCTTCTCCTGCAATCTCAATGGCGTTGTTAT